TTTCTACAAAGCTTGTTCCTAATTAGTCAATTTTTGTTATACCTTATTTGCATACGATGTTGCAAGGTGTAAACCGGCAGCCTATAAAACCCTGTGTAAACCTACAGACGGGGTCCAGAGTTTGTAGTGTTAACTCCTCTGGGCCCACTGGCATAATAAACCTGAGTTCTCCAACTCTGTGAGTGCTGCTTGGTATCTCACCCGGATCCAGGTTGCTGTCACAACTGAGCTGTAACACAAGAGTTGCAACACTGAGCAGTAACACATTTTTCTGCAACAGTATGTATGTTCCTCATTTTACCAAATGGCTAACTCCCTCATCCTGTGTAAATCTTTCTCCAGGTACTGACATCTCATTGAGGTCTTCTCTGGTCATCCTATTTAGAACTACAGCCCTCTCCTAATCCTCATCATCCTTCTGCATTTTTTCCATAGCATCAATTACCTTCTAACTCACTATATAACTGACCAGGTCATTAAGGTATGTTTGTTGTCTCTTTTCTCCTAGGAAGATAGGGATTTTTTTGTCTGTTTTTATTTATTAATGTACTCTCAAGTGCCTGGCAGAGTCCTAGCATGTATTTATTTACTGACTGAGTAAATTTGTACTATAACATATACACACACACACACACACACACACACACATACATATAACATATATATGTATATATAGATGTATGTTATCTTAACATTTGTATATGTAAAACTTACATATAAACATATTTTCAACAATAATAATAAGTATACATGTTTTGAAATATCTAATTAGGAACACTAAATATTTAGCATTTCAGGTTTAATTCAACAGATAGGAGAGAAAGTCAATATTTGTTGATATTCTTCAATACAACCATGTGCTTAGTAAGATATAGGTATTAAGCATTAACAAACAGGTAAAGTAAGTTGAAGACTGTGGTGACCAAAGAGAGTGATGTGCAGGGCTCTAAACTTAGATAAGGATATTGAAAATACATCAGTCTCCTCCATGACAGAGTTGAGATTCCAAGTGTTACAGCAGGCTAACACTCACAAGCAAACTTTAACTGTCACTATTAAAACTCATGGGAACACTTGATAGCTAGTATGTTTCACATATATTATTTGATTTAATGGTTACAACAACCCTTGAATTACAAGGCATTATCATTCCCTATTTACAGATTTTTTTAAAAAAGCATTATTAAGACACATGATCAGGCATACAAGTAATTAGTGATGAATATTAGGTCTTAAACTCAGGTCTTCTGACCAAATCTGTAGCTCATTCCCTGTAGCTTTGCTCAGCTACTTCTGAGTAAAAGGTCAGTTACCCTGCCTGGAAAGAGGATCACAAGACCAAAGAATAGTTTTCTCCACTGAAAGTCCTAAGGACTTCTGATTTGCTCCAAGTCCCCATCAAGCTTAACAGGAGAAGGAAGTCACGTTAAAAACAAATTTAGGCTGACATACCAGAGGGGAGAGGATAGATTCACCAAGCTTTGCAACACTCATTTCCTGAGTGATCTATTCACATTTGTCAATATACAAATAACAATAATATTAACTAACATATATGGAGTGTTTAATTTGTGACAGACTTTACAGTTATTAATTATTGAGTCCTTAAATCTCATTGCTAAACTAGACACAGATCCTGGAAGAGAAAAGGAGATGCTGGTGATGATGGAGGTGTGGGTGGTGGGTAGAGATGGGGAGTTGGTTCTGGAAACCATCAAGACTGCAGGTGGGGAGACTTGAGGACATAGTGTCTATGTTCAAATCCTAGCAATGCTATCATGTGGAATAAAGACAAGAATTATCTGTAGAATCTTAGATGTTAGAGAAAAGTTTAAAGAATCAAAGTCACTGAGTTCAGACACGGGCTCAATAAAGCTGAGTTGCTTAAGTGTTAAAATTATTCAAAAATGGTATGGATATCCCTGTGAGGTATTACAGGTCCACACAGGGAACTCTTCAGCACTTGCTGAGTGATCTCGTCTGTAAGGGATATTGCGGAGGGGAGTCCTTGCCCAGGGTGAGTGACCCAGAACTCCCTTCCAAGTCAGAGAGTCTACAACTGTGAAATTAGTCTAGGGTTATACTCTTGAGGATAGAGGTCTCTTGGGCAGGAATTGGCAGCTTGAATAATGCAACTACCATTGGCACCTAGAATTTTGCTGCCTCTAGTTGGGCCTCCACAGCCCCAAAAGATGCAGAGATTTCTTTGGCAGCTCCCACAAAGCCAGGCCCTCCTAGGCATCCTCTTCCTCCTGTCTGCCTCTAGCCTGCTTGCTACACAGATGCCTCGTGATTCCAGTTAATCTATCTCAGCCTCCTTTTAAAAAAACTGATTGTTATTAAATCACAAGGGACAACTGTGCGACTGTCAAACTTAATTAACTCTGGGAGTAGGACTCCCCACTCCAGCAAGACAGGGGCTGGTAACTTGACACTTTACTTTTGAGAGTTTTTCAACCCCTTCTTTTTATATTTCCTTTATTGAGAGCCTTGTTGGAGCATTTGAGAAACTTCTTAGATTATAGATCCTGGGTTCTGGGGGGCAGCAAAGCTTCAGTCTGGGGTGAAAGGAACAAAATACAGCCCTGGCTAAACTCTCTTCCAAATCAGTGGTGCTTATTAAAGAAAAAAGTGAGGATTGTGAGGGATGGGAAAATGCAGATGGAAAAGAGGAGCAGAAAGGATCAGAAAGGCAAAGAGATGGAGTTGGACTCGAAAATGGGGAAGAATGACATGAAGGTCAGAAAAGGAATAGCTTCTCTTATAGGAAAGTAAAAAAACTGTATCACGGGTTAGTTAAAAAGAAAAATCTCAGCCCACATTACAAGACAGATGAGCCTCATGTTAGCAGTACTGGACCCGGACTGAAGACAGAAGTCCAAGGGTGATAAACTGCATGGACTGGCATCTTGAACGTGACATCTTTCCTGAGAACGTTTCAGTGGTGGTTTAGGCAGCTGTGTGCTGGGTGGCTGAAAGCTGCATGGAGATAGATATCCTGGTTTCAATGCATTTCATGCTTTTAATGGGAAACTGAATCTATTTTCTTCAGATGGGTACCCTTAGATTGTATAAAGGTAAGAAACACCTCGCAGCATGAATAAACTCCTCTCAGCAAGAACAAAATGGAAATGCACGTGAAAGTTAATTTGGCTTTATCTTCTGAAATGGCAGGTTTCTGGAAAAGAAAACAGGGAGGCTTTTTCTTCATTAAAAACAAAAATTGCTTTTCCAACACTGTGTGAGACCAAATTCTGTTGAATAGAAAAAAGCTGATGCAGGACATGAAAAAGTCAGCCCTTTTGTTGGGAGGGAGACACTGGGCACAGATGTCAGCCTGGGGAGATGGGACACACATTTCTTCCACTGACACGCATGACTCAAAAAGCTGCAGCTTGAGTTTTGTTTTTGTCCACCTGAAGGTGGACACACACGCAGAATTCTAGAGGCAAGAAACGAACAGGAGCTTGGAGGACTTATGTGGAAGCCTTATCAACAAGATCATCGCTCCTTTTAAATACAACTTTCTCATTGGAAGTATCAGCACAGAGTAGGGAATCTGATCATGACAAACATTCGCAGGAGTACTTACCTCCTTAGAAGCCATGATCCCAAACAAAGGCAACATTAAAGCAGGCAGCAGAGCTGTTACCGACAGAGGCAAAGCTTCTGTCAGCCAAAAGATGGCGATGACAAAGAGGATGTAGGCGCATTCTGCTTCCTGGACAGAACAAAAGCATAGTGCGAGGTGAAGTAACGAGGTTGGAAATCATCAGTTAAATCACAATCACATTCAAATCACTATCAAAACTACAATGAGGTATCACCTCATACCTCACCTCACACCAGTCAGAACGGCCATCGTGAAAAAGTCTACAATTAATAAATGCCGGAGAGGGTGTGGAGAAAAAGGAACCTTCCTACACTGTTGGTGGGAATGTAAGGTGCAGCCACTATGGAGAACAGTATGGAGATTCTTTAAAAAACTAAAAATAGAGTCATCATATGATCCAGCAATCCCACTCCTGGGCATATATCCAGAGGGAACTCTAATTCAAAAAAGATACATGCACCCCAACGTTCATAGCAGCACTATTTACAATAGCTGAGATGTGGAAACAACCTAAACGTCCATCGACAGATGACTGGACAAAGAAGATGTGGTGTGTACATACAATGGAATACTACTCAGCCATAAAAAGGAATGAAATAATGCCATTTGCAGCAACATGGATGGACCTAGAGATCATCATAGTAAGTGAAGTCAGACAGAGAAAGACAAATGTCATATGATATCACTTACATGTGGAATCTAAAAAGAAAATGATAAAAAATTCTATTTACAAACCAAAAACAGATTCACTGACATAGAAAACAAAGTATGGTTACCAAAGGGGAAAGGACAGAGGATATAAATTAGGGATTGGGGATTAACAGACACACATTACTATATATACAATAGATAAACAACAAGGACCTACTGTATAGCATAGGGAACTATATTCAGTTTCTTGCAATAACATATAATGAAAAAGCATCTGAAGAGAAAATGTACATATATCTATGTATATGTATAACTGAATCACTTTGCTGTATACCTGAAACTAACATTGTAAATCAACTACACTTCAATAAAAATTTTTTTTAAAAAATCACACTTTTGCTGAATAGAGCTGAGTTGAGTCACAGAGAAAGTCAAGAAGAAACTGAAGACCTCTGCACCTTTGAGTTAGGCAGCAAATAGTCATCTCTTAGGGGTTCTAAGAGTCAAAATTTAATACATGTGAAAAACCAATGATACAAAAAAATTCTCATTGAAGTTTCCTTCGCATTTCCTTCACAACAGATAACAGTATATTATCAGTTGTCTGTGCTTTTGTCAGCATATATGGGTGTTTGCACTCACCTTCGTGTGGCCTATAAAATGCACACCCATCTGCCTGGAGTGCAGAAATAGCCAAATTACCGCCTTTCCCCGGGGCTGGACACACCTGCCTTTTAACTGCATTTTTTGGTGCCTGGTTGGGTGGGACCCATGCGCACTTGCCTTCCTTTCCCTCTACTAAAAAGGGAAATCAACCTAGAAGAAAATTTTTGGTATTTTTTTTGCAGAGAAAGGACGACAGTGCCTAGTTACATGGCATGGATAATACTGAATTAGCTCCTAAGTGACCCGGGCCTAGAGGTGATTGCCTTCTGCCTTGCTTTTTAGAAAGCTAGCTGAGCTTCTAGGGAGACACAGGGAGACTCAACAGGATAGACACTCTTAATAGATACTGTTGCCTTGCTACGTTTAACAGTGTGGGTTTCTGTTTTAGGCCACTGTTGAGAAATGGTTGAAATTTATCATTGTATTTGGTTGATAGAAATAATTTTGATATGAAATCACCTGAATGTACTAAGTGATCGGTAAAGGTTAGCATCTCTTCTGTGGCTTTGTTTTGCTCTCACAAAGCTTAATCTCTGCAAATTTTGAGCTGCATTTAAAATTTTTACAAAACTGCTGTCCGAGTTAATGAGGTCTTTTATTTAAGGCTTTCCCAGGGCAATAAAGATTTCTAGCTCTGCTGCCCTCTGGTTCACCTACCTCAGGGTGAGTCCTCTGGGCCTGGTATTTACTCACCCAGCATCCCTGCACTTTTAGTGGGTTTGTAAGCAATTCTTAGTAAGCCAAGATTGTGTCATATCTTTATTGTGCACTCTTTTTCAAGGAGAAAGAATAAAGGCGTTTCGATGTTGACAATTTTATACAAAGTCTGCCTCTATAATCTTGACAAACAATAAAACAGTGAAACAAAGCTGAGCCTTGACTAAATCTTCCTGACTTGCTCCGGAGAGAATTTGTGAATACGGGCTTGATTTAAAATGCCAGAGTAAAAGAAAGACGGGGTCCGCTTTTTCTCTTAGTCAGAACACATGGATAAAGCAAAAGTTCTTCACTGTGACTCTGTGTTTTCTATCTTACTTATAAGAACCTAGATTTCAAAGATAAAATGGATCTTTTTACTACCTTGTTTTTTAGCCACAGCTAACCAGTCTTTTGGTCCTCTCAAATCTGCCCCTTTACCTCTCAGATCTGCCCTTTAGTCTCCATTCCATGTCCTCCTCTGTAGGCAATGCTGATTCAAAGCCAGATCATCTTCCAAGAATCCACTTCGATTTTGTCATCCTCTTGCATACAGCTGGATTAAAAGACTAGCTACCCTGACAACTGTCTGGAGCACCAATCTATAAGGGCCTGCTAAAACACCAGGAAAAGAAATAGAAAACACAGTGCAAGAGGATGCTGTTCACCACACATAACCCTGGCCATCGTGTTGAAATTTCACTTCCACCTAGGTCTACTTCAACTAGACATGTGTGGTCTGCTTAGACAGGGCAATTTTGGAGATAAAATAAAAAACAAAATTTCAGGTATTAAATTATTAACTTGCCTAGACTGCTTTCATATTTTAACTGGCACAGCCCTGATTTAAAATGATCAAGTTAGTGATTTTTCAGTAGTTCATTGTAAAGAATCCAAAATCCTCATCTTGCCTTCAAGGCCATCTTCACTCTAACTATAATAAGACTCATCCCAGTATTTCCTGAAATATTTCTAAAGAGTCTTAGTGGCATTCCTTCCTCATGTTTGGGTTCTGATCCCTGCTCCTCATCATGCACTCTTTTTCTAAACTCTAATCCATAACGTTCATACCAGTAAGCCCCCAGATACTCTTAAGTGACAGCTTCTACCTGCCTATGACTATATTCTGGCCTCTTGGGCCCTTTGACCAAGTTTGACTATTTAAATGAAGTAGTTGCAAGCTAATGGCCAACTCTAGCAAGAAAATACAGCTTATCTGACTTACAATGAGGGGAGTGTGTGTGTGTGCGCGCGCGCATTTAATTTGGGTCAAAATTGGTAAATCAACAGATTTCACGTTAGAAATAAAACCTGAATTTCTGGCTTCTCTTGACAAACTAAGGAATTTGGTAACACTGAGATCATATTCTTCCAGGTCAACAACTCTCCAGATTCGAGGAGAGCTTCCCCTTTAGAGGCTGACTTGTGCTTTGCGGTTGTGTACAGTAACTCTGCACCATCAAATTCATTCTCTTTCCCATTTGGCCTTAGTATTTAAGTAAAATCTCCGGTAATAAAAACACTGCCTTTTACCATCTTCTTTTACCATTCCCGCATCAATACCTGGATTGCTTATTTGGATTTCTCTGCCTACTGGCTGTGTGGTCCATGGACTGGGAGCTTGTGAGAAATGCAGATTCTCAGGCTTTTCCCCAGACATACTGAGTCCAGATCACCATATTCAAGTTCCCCAGTTGATTATTAATTAAGTTAAAATTTGCTAAGCCCTGGGTTACTACCTCTTTTGGACCTTCCCTTTTATCTTTATTGCTGGGTCCAACTTTCAAACCAGAAACACGCTTCCAAGAAGGGTCATTTTGCTTAAGCTGAATCCTTAGACTCATAACCTATTCTGAATACTTATCCATTCTTCAATGTGAAGTTCAAATTTACGTCTTGTCTGCAGAGCTTCCCCTAAACACTTATGTACATTTCATATTTTTGCATCTATGTCCCAGGGGATTACAGCTGCATCTGGCTAAGGCACCATATCTATTGTCTCTGACAGCTACCCTCCCAGAATTTGTAGGAAATGCTTCCTTGTCCCCATATCTTAAACTCAAAGCCTAGAATAGGAGAAAAACAGAATTATCCCTGTCTGAATGTGCTGCAACTCCAAAGACACCCTGAATGTTTGATCTGTAGAATCATCTCTGAGATAAAGGGGAAAATTGCTTCATTTTATCCCTGGAAATGCTTCATCACCTGTTCTCTCTAGCTATAGTATCTTTGTCTCTCATTGAGCTCTTTAATTTTGTTCTCTTACTTCTCTTTTTCTACTTTCTTATCAAGCCCCTACTCCTAAAACAGAGGGACGCCACCATCACCACCGTTATATACCACAACCACCGCTAATACTACCACCGACAACCAATAATACAACAATAAAAGAAGGCCAATTGTCAAATAAGTTATACTGTGGGTGAATCATTTTCCTTTCTCAAGCCCTCTCAAGTCTAGTGCAAGTCATGACTACAATCCGATGCCTTTCATAAAATTAATCCTGCAGCCATAACAAGTAATGTTGAATCAAATTCTGTTCTAGATAAAGCAAAGCATTTCAGTATCATAAAATTCTGAACTGAATGAGAGCAACACAAATAATGTCCACTTTTATTTTGTTTATTGTGAAGGAAAATATAGGAAGAAAAAAATGATTCAAAATTATGACTGACTGATCTTATAAGAATACTTTTTAAGTCATGATTCCTTCTCAAAACTCTATATGAAACAAAAAGGGGAAAGTCCAGAGGACTTCCTCAAAATTTTTTCTTTTTAAAAATCTATACACCCCCTACCACTTCCAAAAGTTACATGGAGAAGTTCAGCAAACAAATCACATCCATCCAGACAGGGGCAGCTGTGCAGAAACAGATGCTGTAAATTCTGTCAGACAGTATGAGGTGGAATGTCAAGTAACCATGCTTTCCTGCTCTGTGTGTACACTATGCCTTTCTGGCTCTTTTAGGGCCATCTCCACCTTTCCTATTAAAAGACGCTTCTCTCAAACTACCAGACAGATGAAGCGATTCCTTGCAGACTTATTACCAACAGGGACGAGAAATTTCTGTTTCCTGATTTAAAAAAAAAAAATT